GACGGACAGGGCTAAATCGACTCAGCTCGTCGCCCTGATCAAGAATATATACTTTGTGGCGTCTGCCACGCCTCCTTCTGCCTGTTGCATACATTTTAACAAAACCAATATACTCTGATTTCCCATTTTCAAGGAGATTAGGGTATAAAAATATATATGCCATATATAAAAAACAAAATTTAAATTCAACATTATTTAACACAAGTTAAAATAATAATTCGCGTTTATAGCAGTATTTTGCATAGGACCTAGGAGAGATATCTTATACTTTCATAAAAGTCTTATACATTACACTAAAATTAAACAGAATTACATATTATTTTAGGGGCAACAGAAGATGCCATTATTGCAATTATAAATATATTCAGGTACTTTCAAACCTTCCCAAAAATCACTAATAAAACATCGATGTTCGATGCATCTATGATTTCTTACATCACTAGTGGCAGTCGATAGTCGATAGTCTACATCTAATACATATCGGTTACAGTCCTGTTCTTGTAATCGTGTCGCGTATTTATTATCGCCACTAACCAGACAGTGTTATCGCTGATCTCTAAATTATATACATTTTAAATTGAAGCAACGAAGCTCACGTCCGTCTGAAATAGAAAGTTCGTAGGGAAAATATTGTAAAGTCACTTCCTTGTCTGCCATCCGTAAAACAAGGCGTTGTAAATTATGAAATTCTATGTAACTAAAACAAATCGGGGTGTCAATACAATTTTTTCCTTGCGTGTTGCTCAACACTAGAAGACTACCAATATATGCAAAGAAATAAAACAAAATTATTTCCGAAAAAACGTCAGCCCACAAAGACAATGACTGAAAAATATACTTCTGAGTTATTGGGTGTTGTTATAGCCCAAATAGCGCAAACTATTGGATATAGTAGAACCCAGAGTGCGCCGCTAGAACTTCTAGAGGACATTTTACTACGTTTTATCCAAGAACTTGCACGGGACCTACACAGCCAAGCCGAGCATGGTAATTACCTTGTTTATAAATATTTAGATTCGTATATACAGGCAGATATGTAAATATATATATTATAGCAAATCGCATTGAGCCAAATTTGAAGGATGCAGTGCTGAGCCTAAGAAATGTTAACATTAACGTACCCGAACTACTAGATTATATTGGAAATGTGGAGCCAATGCCATTCGTTCGCGATATACCAGCATTTCCAGTAAAGCGATATTCAAACATGAACTTCCTAAAACCCGGCAGTGCAGAGACTCTTACGAGACCCGTTCACATATTTGAATACCTACCACCGATGTTGCCCACAGAACCAACGCCAACAATCTCCTGTTCCAACTCTTCCTCCTCAATCAGCTGGCCAGAGAAGTCGGAAAGCGAACAGCTTCAACTATGTAAATTAGAATCAAATAGAGAGCTTACAACAACAAAGCTAATTCAAGCTGTAATAAACGACTTTCCTTCTGCGGCAGCTGTCGTCGGTGGTATATCGAAGTTGTCCAGTCTAAAATCATCCTCTACTGACAACTTGGATCATGATGGTCATGCAATACGAGAAATCAGTAGCGTCGTTATGACGACGGGAGGGTTCATATCGCCGGCGATTGAGGGAAAATTACCAGAAGCTTACGTACCAGACATTATTGGTGAGTACACAGACAATTGTAAACAACATCAATAACAAGTATGAAGGCTCTAGTCGAAACTGCTCGACCAGGAGATACCCTGAACCCTCCAAGCTGATGTTATAATCATTCTGAACTTATTTTATGCACACATACATACACATGCATCCAAACGCACGCATAAGCCTGCGCTCTGCTATCTGTGCAGTAAGCAGCGATTGCGCTTAGCCAGCGCTGCAGTGTGGCCAATAGTATGAGAATTTATTAGTTGAATAATTTAATTTCTAGACGTACAATCTTAATGAAACTTTCAGAACGTAAT